CTCCCCCGCAGGGGAAGGGCAAGTGCCCGTCCGACTCCTCCTGGCCCAGCAGTGACCCCTCGCGCCAACGGTGGTCCGTGACTCACACAGTCGCCACTGGTAGCGGCTTGCCAGGACCTCTCAGACGTCTTCTGCTTCCCCTCGTGGACATGTTCTGCGCTTCACCGTGCTTCCCCCCCCGCCGTCCCTCGCCAGGACACTGCATGGCCCCCCTGGGGCGCGGCTGCCCAGTTCTCCTTGCGTGCGCTCCGCGCTGCTCCCCCTCACAGCATCGTTGATAGTGGCCAGCCGGGCCCTCGGCACCGCCGGCACCCCCACGCTTGGCCACGGTCACCACTGACCGCTGGCCGCGCCTGCCCGCTCTTCTCCGCCCCCCACTTCCTGCGCCCGGGCGGCCCCTCCTGGTGGCCCGCCGCTCTTCGCCGCACTGCTGCACCTGCTCGGTGCCTTCCCGCCCCCCCCCCCAGCATCTCGCCCAGCGCCTCGACCCAGCGCCTCGACCGAAAGCTCAGTGTCCTCAGTGCTTCCCCCCCCCGCGCGCTCAGTGGGCTGGGGGGCGCTCAGCAGGACACCCTCGGTGCTTCCCCCCCCCCGCGCGCTCTCGGCCCTTTCCGAGCGCCGCGCTCGCGTTTCCGCCCGCCTGCCTCGCCCTCGCGACTTGGGGCCAGCCGCGCGGGCCCGCCGCGGCGAGCTGCGCCGCTCGCGCCTCGCCCCCTTGTGTTGCTGGGCGCTGCGTGTGCCCTTGGCGGGCCGGCCCTGCCGCTCGCCCTTGGCTCCCGCGCGCCCCTCCCCCGGCCGCCCCCAGCTGCCGCTCCACGCCGGGGCGGTTGCCCTGCCCCGCCGCTGCATCCCCTGCCTCAGCTAGCATCGACTACGCGTAAGAGTGACCTTTCGCCGGAGTGACCTTTGGTGCGGGCTCGAAGGGGTCTCCCGATCACCGAGCGCGATGCGATAGTAGCGTCTTGCGCGCCTGGGTTTGGCCCCCCCGCGGCCACCCAAAAGTCGCGCACCGAAGGTCACTCTTACCCAGGGTCGCTCTTGCGTGTAGCCGACAGCAGGCCGGATCGCCGGCTTTCTGCAGGCTTTGGTCAGGCCCCGCCCGCGGCTCCAGCGCTGGCGGTGCGGCCCTGCCCTCTTCGGGGCCAGGCGGCCTCGGCCGTTCCCCTGGCCGGGCCCCCCGCCCTCCCGGCTGGCTCGTGCGCCCTGCTCCGCCTCCCCGTGGTCCCTACTTGGTGCCTGGGCCGCCGGGCCTTCTCCCGCGCCTGGCAAGTTCGTAGATCTCGGCGCCTTTGTTGTCCCTCCTGCTGGGCCCTTGCCAGTTTTTTCCGGCCCCTCTCCTGAGGTGGTCTCCACTGGCTGCTGTTCAGTCACTTGGAAGGCCAGCTCGATCTCAGTGCTCAGCCGCCTCGCTGTTCGGCTTGCTCATCCCCCCCTGCTCTGAGCGGTGTGCCCCACTAGTGCCACACCGCCGGAGCAGCACCTCTGCCCAGCCGCCGACGTTAAAGATGTCCACCTCCTTCCTCCTCCCCTCCGTCCTCTCTCCTCCGTCTTGACGGCCGTCCTTCTCCTTACGTCGAAGCGGCCAGGGGGCTCTTAATGGACACAGGGGTCTGAAGTGCAAACCCCAGCGCCTCGCTCGTTATCCAGCTGCCTGCGGCAAGTCCCGTCCCCGTGCCGGTCCAGCATGCTCGGCGGTGGTTACAGCGTGCACGGTGGAGTGGTGGGAGTTGGAGACGGTCAACAAGGTACGCAGAATCATTGTGCGGCCTCTTGATGCTGGGCCGTCCCTGGAAGCATATGGTGTGGAGAAGGAGAGCCGTCACATGTGTCATCTTTTGTCTTCTCTTCTTGAAAAGCGTGCGTATCTCTCTGTTGGGCCGTCTGTGCGTGGTGATCGCGATGGTGATCGTGATGTTGATGGTGAGGATGACGAGGATGACAGTGAGGATGGAAATGGTGATGCTGCTGCTGATGGTGATGATGAGGATGACGATGGTAGCAGTGGTAATAATGAGTGGGATGAGGAGCCTGGGTGAGCTCCTGAATAGCAGTCTTAGGGGTTCATTGGGACCGTCATGGGCCGTCTTGGGGCTCTCCTGGGGCCCTCGTGGCTTTCTAGGGAGTCTCGTGGGACCATCGTCGGGCCGTGTTGGGCCGTCCAGGGATCCTCTTAGACCATCTTGGGTCCCTGTGGATACCCTTTAGGGCCAGCTTGAAGCGTTCTTGAATCCATCCTGGGGTGTCCAGGAACCCTCCTGGGTTGTCTTGAGGACCCGACGTCTTGGAGAGCGCCACTTATCAGGGGATACGGTGCTGGACATCCTCACGATCTGGCCGCTTGGGATGCTGAGACCAACGCCTCGTTTGAGACAACCTCACGATCCGTTCTGAAAACAAAGAAATCCAATTCACCAAACAGGCTTACCGCTTGAGAGGTTTCGTGAACCAGCACCTCGCTCGAGGCATTCTCACAAGTTGAGAGTGATGTGAGCCTGAGTGTGAGCGGCTTGTACGAGTGAATCTGACTGTGAGGGATTTTGAGTGTGAGTGATTCTCAGTGTGAGTAACTCTGCGTGCGTATGAGTCTGAGTATGAGAAGTGAGTTTGAGTATGAGTGAATCTGAGTCTCAGTCTGAGTGTGAATGATCTGACTGTGAGTGAGTCTGAGCATGAGTGACTGGAGTGTGAGGAACGGGGGTGAGGAGGCGGAGGCCCCGCAGTGACGGCAAGAACACGCTCTTGGGATAGGCATGCGTCTCGCCACGAGGCGTGCGCAGTCGGCCGCAGGCACCGAACACAGCCACCCAGACATCCTCTGCTACGATTTTCTTCGATCCGAGGGGGCACTCTGCCCTGGTGCCCCAGCCCGCGGCCGGCCGGTCCAGGCCCGGGTCGGCGAGATGGCCAGGACAGCCAAGAGGGGAGTGATGGCCACGTAGGCACGGCCAGTGCCATGGTGTTTCCCCAGATCTCGTGGCACCCCTTGCCTTTCAAGACGTGACTCAGCCCCCCCCTCTCCCCCCCCGGGGGGCCGCGCACGTGCCGCCGGCCATGATTTGCGCCGCTCCCTCTCGGACGCTCCCCTCCTTGGGCGCCCCCGACAGAGGGGGGGGGACGGGGGGAGGAAGTGAGAGGGGGGGCCTCGGTGCGGGCGGCAGGGCAGCTCCGGGCGGGCGCAGCGATCGAGGGGGGCGCTTGATGCTGCTGCCATTCGTCGTCGTCGTCGTCGTCGTCGTCGTCGTCGTCGTCGTCGTGGTCCTCCTCCTCCTCCTCCTCCTCCTCCTCCGTCTCCTTCTCCTTCTCCTTCTCCTCCCTCTCCTGCTGCTGATCGCTGCTGCTGCTGCTGCTACTGCTTCTCGTCGTCCTTTTCCTGCTGCTGCTGCTGCTGCTGCTGCTGCTCCTAGTCGTCGTCGGCTGCTGCAGCTGCTGCTGCTCCTGGCCGTCGTCGTCTGCTGCTGCTGCTCCTTGTTCTGCTCCTCCGCGTGAAAATGTGGCTCGTGGGCGTTGTCGCGCTCAGTCCTCTCGGCTCATCCATGCTGGCCTCCCTGCTGCAGTGAAGACACGGTTCCCTCGGTGGTGTGCGCTCCTCCCTTCCCTGCTCCTTCCCCCATGCATCACGCTGCCTCAGGATACGGATACATCGCTGCAGTCAGGTCTGACCGGCCAGTGCCGTGTGGTGTGGTGCCGTGTGGGCTGTCACGAGGTCGAGTTCGGCCAGTAGGTGCCATGCCGTGTGGTACCGCGTGGAACAGTGTGGGTTGTGGGTTACCCCGATGGCGAAGTTGGTTGCCTTAGTTGTTCCGTGTGGGATGCCACGAGGTCGGATTCGGTTGCCCAAAGCCGTGCTGTGAGGTGCCTTGTGGTTTGCCGTGAGGTCGGCATTGGTTGATGCTTTGCTGAGCGGTGTGGTCCGTGTGGTGGCGCGTGAGTGGCCACGAGATTCTGTCCCCCAGTGCCATGCCGTGTGGTGTTGTGTGGGACGCCACGAGGCCGAGTCATGGTGCCGCGATGCGGAGTATTTCAATGATCTAGCTGAACAGCACTTGTTACAGCTATTTCCAGCTGTGTAGAGTTCGATATTGACTTGTCCGACACTTTAGGGTTATAAAATTACCCCAGTGCGACCCTACCTAGAAGTTGGAGCCCCTAGGAAAGCAGCATTAATTGCTACGCTATACCATGCTATGCTATGCCATGCTATGCTGCGCTATGATATGCTATGCTATGCTATGCCATGCCATGCTATGCTATGCTGCGCAATGCTATGCTATGCTATGCTATGCTAAGCTATGCTATGGCATGCTGCACTGTACTATGATACACTATGCTATGCTATGCATACTATGCAATGCTATGCTATGCTATGCTGCGCTATGTTATGCTGTGCTATGCTAATGATGCTTGACTATATTATGCTATGCTATGCTATGCTAATGCAGCGCTGCGCTATGCTAAGCTAAGCTAAGCTAAGCTAACCCTCTAGGCAGAACCTAGGTAGGGGATTACACCCATGCTAATGCTGTGCTGCGCTATGCTATGCTATGCTGTGCTCTGCTATGCTAAAGCTCAGCGAAGCTAAGATGAAGGTAAGCTAAGCTAAGATAAACCTGAGCTAAGATGAAGCTAAGCTAAGCTAAGATGAAATAAGCTAAGCTAAGATGAGATCAGCAACGCTAAGCTAAGGGGACGTAACTGGGGGAACCGCGGGGCGGATCCTGGGGGAACCGCCCGGGGCGGGGCCCACTGCCCAGCCCTTTCAGCACAGAGGGTAAGAACCCTTCTAGGCAGAGCCTAGGTAGGGAATCAGCTTTGCAGGCTCAATGCTTCCCACCGTTCTTCTTGTTTTGCTGATGTCTCTCTCCAGGTAGTTCGCTTACTACGGACAACATTCGCGGATACATGCGAGGAGGTAGCCTGAATGTTTCTGCCGATATAAAAGACACGGCTCCCAGTCACAGAACACGTCGGACTTCATTCAGGCCCAATCCGTATCCGTAGAGGAGCCTGCGGGGAGATTGGGAGGCCAGTATGCTGCATTTTTCGAAATCTGATGCACGCGCCATTTCATGAATACGAGACTTGCCGTGTCAGCCTATTCAGGCTTTCCGGCCAACTGCGATCGCGTACGTTTCATGGCGCCAACATCGCAGGGTGGATTTCGGTCGGAAAACGATAGGGTGGGCCCCGATTGCCCTGGAGAATTTCGTTCCGGATTTCGAGGTGAATTTCGTGCGTAATTTTTTTGGCCAGGAATGAAGACCCAAAAGAATCCACGCGAAATTCACTCCATTTTTCACGCGCCGTTTCGGGCAAAAATCCACGAAGAGATCCACGCAGAAGTCCGCTTCAGCACGTCTGCAAGGCCGGTGCGATGATACGTTTGTTTCGGTCGCCCCAATGTTACCCCAGATTTCGTAATAAAGGGAGGGGGGTCTCATTTCGGGGGGGGGTCTCTTCCAGGCTATCTTGGAGGGCCTGGGGGGGTCTGGGGACGATGTTTTGGAGGGTTCTCCCACGGGGGAGGTCTGAAATGGCTTGTCTTGGAGGGTCCAGACCCCTCCCTTTTATTACGAAATCTGGAGTAATGATTGACCAGATTGGTTCGACGCTGCTCTGCATGGTGGGAGCGAGAAGCAAACTTACCATTCCAGCGGCCTCGTGCCGTTCTGAGCCGTGCGCGACGCTGCGGCGTTCACGAGTCCGTGGTCGGAAATTTTGGACGTGCCCTCCTTCGATTTGTGCCTGTTGCGTTATCAGTTCATGTAAGTTGAAGTGCAAGCAGCCAGAAAGGGCCTATGGCCTAGAAAAGCGCTTAGGATGAGGAGAAGGCGGATGATGCTGAGGAGGCGGAGGAGGAAGAGCAGGACGATGAGGAGGTCTTTAGGGATCCGAGCTTTAGACGTGACGGGGGCATCATGGCATTTCAAATCAGGTTCTGGTGGTGCTTGCACTTACCCCTGTCCTTGGCTCCGAGTTGATTCCACGAGCTTCTCGCATAAGGGAGATGGGTCACGGCTTTGATCTCCGTCCGAGAAGAGAAACCATACACCAGATTTCGTAATAAAGGGAGGGGGGTCTCATTTCGGGGGGGGTCTCTTCCAGGCTATCTTGGAGGGCCTGGGGGGGTCTGGGGACGATGTTTTGGAGGGTTCTCCCAGGGGGGGGGTCTAAAACTTTTCGTCTGGGAGGGTTGAGACACCCTCCCTTTTATTACGAAATCTGGAGTACACTGGCCCATGGCCCAACATGGCCAGACCAGGGTCTTCGGTGGCGGTGGTGCATGTTTTTTCCCCACTTCGCTCTGTCAGCCGTCGTCGCTCCCTCGAAGGCTGCCTAGAGGGTTGGGCATGGGCACCGGAGTATGGCCAGGCGGCGTGCCGAGCGAGGTTTACCTCTGGATTGACCAAAGCTCGGGGGCGGAAAAGAGGGGGGTGATGACTAGGGGGGGGGTGGATATCATGGCGGGGGCCATGATATTTCCCCAGATTCCATGGCGCCTCTTCTTGTTTCATTACGTCCCTGGCCCCCCCGCTGGGCCGCGCACATGCCCCCGGTGATGATTTGCACCCCCCCCTCTTGGACACCCCCCTCTTGGCCGCTCCCGAAAAGCGCACTGGCTAGGACGTCCTTGCCCTGCGAAGGCCTGTCGGGCCTCTGCGGAGTTCGTGTTCGGGGCTTGTTACGGCAGGTTCGAGTCGTGTCCGCGTGGCGACGTCCCTGGCACGGGCGTTCAAGTTTTACCGCCGCCAGTTTCTTGGAGTCGGCCGACATCGAACGATCCGCGCTCTCGGAAATCCGCGATCGCTAAAAAATCAACTGATTATCCATGTTGTGTCAGAAAGCAGCGCGCAATAAGTACGCCATGACGCGATTCACCCGTACAAACGTTTTGTTAGTATGCGATGATCGGTGGTCGGCATTCAGCTGTCAGGCTATGCCCAAGGGGAGGCCTGCGGCGAGAGGAGCTACAGGCCAGGTTCCTTGGGGGTGCTTCTCGAGAGATGTTTCCTTATGCAAAGTCTCCTGCTCTGAAACATCACGCGCTGCACTGCAACATAATGAAGTGCGATGCGATGCGAACCAAACCAGTGTAATGAGCTGCCGACCAGGTCAACTCATTGCAACATATCTCGTGCACTGGATCTCAAGGCAATGTAAGAACAAGTGCAGTGCACTGCAATGCAAGTCAAACCCATGATACGAACATCACCACAGAACACACCACTTCTTGACGCTTCCCGCGTCTCCTCCAGGCGCTTGTCGTAACAGGGGCAGTGGGGAGCATTGGTGGGACAGACACGGGGGGGCACCCGTGAAAGCGAAGCTAGGAGCAGCTCAATCATCTTTCAACAATGACCAAGCTGTGGGTCTCTTGGAGGCGTTTTGGAGCAGCTCTCCCGAGGATCTTTTTTGGACCATTTGAGGGGAGCGCTAGAATTCGCAATGTTCTAGCTTACTGTGTTTTCGGCTTCTCTTCACGCGCATTGGGGGGTTTCCCTGTGCACAGTTTGCGCCGCTGTGGCCCCAGCGCTTTCTACGACGGACTCGCGCGTTCGCCGAGTCCGCGACTAAATTTTTTCCGTCAGCGGCGATGCGGCGAAGTCCGCTCTAGCGAGAAGCCAGATAGGGTCACTAATTAGCGAATTGGCCGTCGTGCAAAGAGGGGAAGGGGGGACGGCCGAGAGGAAGAAGGGACGCCTAGACGCCGAAGAGTTGGACGATGAGCAGCCAGGGGGGGGCAGCAGCAGCCAGGCGCGCAGGGCCAGAGCGCGGCGGGCGGCCGGCCGCTACTAGAACAAACTGACTGTGATTGCACGCGTTCTCATTCTCCTCGCGGGAGGAGGAGGAGGAGGAGGAGGAGGAGGAGGAGGAGGAGGAGGAGGAGGAGGAGGAGGAGGAGGAGGAGGAGGAGGAGGAGGAGGAGGAAAAGGAGGAGGAGGAGGAGGAGGAGCACGCCGCCGAGCTCCGCGCCCCGCCCCCCCTCCGCACCTCGGCCCCTCCCGGAGGCCCTCCGTCAAACCGAAGAAAGGGCGGTCGCCATCGGGTGTCAAGTCCCCTCGGCCCGGGGAAGGGAAGGCCCGGGGGCGATAGCGAGGGTTTCTGGACCTTCACAGGGCTCAATTCGATTTTTTCCGATTCGATTCGATTCGATTTCGATGGATTCCGATCCCGATTCGATGCGACATCGGATTCCGATTTGGGATCCGATTTCTCAACGCAGGCCTGCTGGCCTGCCGATGTATACCGATTCGATGTTTCCCGACTGGGCTGCCGATTTTCGCCGATCCGATTCATTTCGATCGCCGATTCGATTTGTCGATTCGATTCTGGGCTGTCCTGCCTTTAGCCCCTGTGGGCACCTCTTGGGGCTAGTTTCGGGCCGCGCTGAGGCCCCGGGCGCCCGTCGGAAAGGAAAAGGCTGACGAGCGAAGGTCGCCCAGGCACCGGCGGGTTTTGGAGGGTCCTGGCCTCCTGGGCGGCGGATCTCCCATCCACCCTCTACCTCCTCCGTTCGCTCTTCTGGCTCCTTTCCCCCGAGGAACCAAAGACGGCGTCAACATAAACTGTTGGACGCCCGCGCGGATTTTTGCATATGCTGTCTCCATGGTAGGAGTGCGTACCGAGTAGAAATTCTAGACGCTTCGCGTATCCCCACCAGCCCGTCCAGAAACGACGCCCAGGCGAGTAGAGGGTCGTCCTGAGGGGCTTTTCGGCGTCTTGGGTGCCTCGGGGGGGCCTCTGTGGGCCGTTCGGGATCCTCTTTGGGGCCTCCTGGGGGCCTCTTGGGGCCTCTTGGGGCCATCTTGGGGCCTTTGGGGGCCTCCTGGGCGCTTCTTGGGGCCATCTTTGCCCCTTGGGTGCCTCTGGGGGGTCTCTTGGGGCCTCTTGGGGGTCTCTTGGGGGCCTCCTGGGGGCCTCTTGGGGGGCCTCTTGGGGCCATCTTGGGGCCATCCTGCGGCCTCTTGGGGGACATCGGCCAAGGAAGTGGGGTTCCCTAATTACAGCGCCCCCCCAGGAGCTTCAAAAATCGCTTCCTGGACCCCTCTTGGATCGCTCTTGGAGCGCTCGTGGCCGCTCTTGGAGCCATCCTGAGGCTCTCTTGGGCCTCTCTTGGAGCTATCTTGAGCCATCTTGGAGCCATTCATCTTGACGCGTCGCATGTGCATCGTAAGCGAAAAAGTGAGAACACCAAAAACATTGATTTTCCCTAGGGTTTTGAAGCATTTTGGCCTCTTGGATGCATCCTAATGATGCTCTTGTGGGCACTTGGAACCGTCTTGGGGAGTTCTTGGAGCGTCTTGGAACATCATGGGGACCATCTTGAGGCATCTTGCGCTATCTTGAGCCATCTTGGAGGTCATCTTGAGCTCCCTGAGGCCCTCTTGGAGCCGTGTTGGGCCGTCTTGGACGCTCTAACTACCCGCGGCCCCCCCTGTCCAGGTCAGTGGGGAGGGGGTAGGGGGAGGGGTAAACCCCTCCCCGAAGGGGAAGAAGGAGGGGTGGAAGAGGAAACGCTCTAAACCACCGACGCCCAGAGGGCTGGTGGGACTCTTGGGCACGGGCACTGTGGCTTCGTAGCCAGTTTTTCGAGAAGCCCTTGGTGAGTTGGTTGGACCGGTGTGCCAATCTCGGCCTCAAGAGTTGTGCCCCCTCGTGCCCTCGCGTGTAGCCGTGCCGCGCGTCTAGGCCGGCGGCGCCATGGCGGGGGGGCCGTGGATCTGGGACGGGCCGCTGCCCTGCTGGCCAGCGCGGCCCGCCAGGCGGGCAGGTGCCGCTGCCGCGAGAGGGAGCTGGGCGCGCAGGTGCACCGGCTGGAACTTGGATTGGGTGCCGGCGACTTAGAGATGCCCACCCGCCAGCGCCCTCGTGCTGGCGACCTAGAGATGGCCAGTGGCGGCGCGAGCTGCACGCGGAGCGGCGCCACCTGATGGCCAGCTCCCTGGGCGGCGCCGGCGGGCGTCCCAGCTCTCACCCCGAGGCGAGGGCCGCCGAGGTCGGG